TTGCTCCACAGTATGCCTCGAAGCAGGAGTAGTGCATGATGTGGCCACAGCCAGTAGTGACAGGCCCACGCAGAGTGCTCTTTGCATTGAATCCTTTGCTTAACCCAATCTTTTCGCTGATGACTTCACCACCAGAAGAGTCGAGTCGCTTGACTGTCGTGTGGTTCTCTCCAGCCACGCCGAAGGGACGAATTTCCTCGGCGGATCTGTCCAGACTTGTGGGGGTCTTGAGTGCCTCGCGAATTCTGTCGGAATCCCGGATGTCGGTTTGCCGCAGGATTGTACTGTCCTGGATCATTGCGAAAGTACCATACAGTCTAGAGTCATTGGTCTCTTCTTGACACAAGATACAAGTCCCACTGGGATACTTCCAGACCTTCTTTTCCGGAGCAGCCTCAGTGTCAGACTCAATATCACTGAAGTCTTCTTCGCCCCAATCAATTTTACCCTGGCTGCTCAAGAACTGTTGCTGTTGCTGCTGGAACTGAGCCATGACCTTTGCTTGTCGCTCCATGGCCTGTTTCTTCTTGTTCTCTCTTTCGCCGTCTGCATCAATTGCAGGAGAGTTGGTGTCGATTCTATCGAAGGGGAATTTCAGAGAGGCAGTTGCAGAATGATAGGTGCGAGGGCGCTTCTGCCACAGGCGCTTGAGAATGTGACGGATTTTGGGACCGGAAGAGCTGAACTCGGTCGTAACGGAAATCTTCTCCAAAAGACCGACAATAGTCAGGTTACCCGCCTTGATCTCTCGGGACTTGGACAAAGCGTTCCAGTTAAAAGAATTGGAATGCTCGTCAACCATGTCATCTTCATGAGAATCATCTTCCAACACTGCGGCAAGAATAAGATGCAAGATCACTTGAAGGAAAGTCTCAACACGTGTTGGGGGAATGCTTGGTGTGCACTCCTTGGATGAAATAACATATTCGAGACATTGGTGGATAATCTGCGCAAACAGCATAGTACCAGCAAAGCGAGGAAGGTCAGAGAATACGCCAGAGCTGATGGGCCGGAGCTTTGGCTCATAGACAATGTCAGATGCATTCTTGCCTGTCTTCTTGGCCATCCATTCCTTGTAGATGTTCTCGGCTTCGTCTCTTTGGTTCTTTGTGTAATGGGCACTGTATGGATCAATGAGGTCGAGGTTCTCGGGCTTCAACTCGAAAGTCCCAGAATCACTCAAGCCCTCTGGTGGGCGGAAATTGGCGACTTCTTCCAGCACATCTTGGAACATATCTGAGTCCAATAGCTTGTCACTGAGACGGGTAGAAAGATCCGAGAAAGAGAGCGGCTTAAAGCACAAAACATGAGCAATGTCCCGTTTAATATTATCGTTGGTGAGGTGGGTGCTATCATCGATAGCCGTTAATGATGTCCGATCCGTCAGAATGATCACCAGCAGATGAACAAATTCTTCTGCCACGTCCACAATCTGGGAATCCTCATAGCCAGGACGGGGAGTGTAGTTCCGAGCCATCCAATCGACCATTCCAAACCGGTGTGCAATAGAAGCAAGAACTCTGCTAGGATCGCAAGTCACCATCGCGGTCTGGAGGAGGAAGATATCTCTGTAGTACGCAAAGTCACGAGAAGAGACTCCGCGGTACTGAGACATTTGGTGACGAAGACTGAGACCGTTTCGAACCCACATGCCAGCCTTCATCTGTGCAAGCCAGGCACATACCCGGAGCGGATAATCGAACATAGTCAGAAGAAGGTCTTCAGTTCCAAGGGAAAGCAACTGGTCATCGACACTCGTTGGATCATTCGCCTTGGCATCTTGAATGGTGGCTCTCGCTGTCTGGGCAGCATCAAATAGAACGCTGCGCATGGTAGCGGTGCTGATGTTGCGCCCACACTCAACAAGCCAGGACAGAGTGTAGTGAAGTGCGTGGTGGAAACTGATTGATCCACGTTCAACGACGAATTCAACAACTCGGTGGCAGAGAACTTGACCAGAGGCGCCAACTTCAAAGTCGAAAGGCGGCAACGACTTGAACTTCACCTCTTCCTTGATCTCGGCCTGATCGAATCTCTTGCGCTCCATACCGACTGAATGAAGAATGGCAGTATTAGTTGTATTTTTGATTGCCCTCAAAAGATTTTCATCATGGTCGTTGTCAGGGTTGCGGAAGGACTCGCAGAAAATACGACAAAGCCGGTTGATCTCGCGCATGAGAATGGAAGCACTAATCCAAGCGTCTGTTTCATATTCAACGTGCTCACCAACAGCGCGCACATTGGGGCAAATGCCTTGTGATAGTTTGACGAGATCAAGGAATTGGGGAAGATATTGCTCTTCGGTCCGCACGCGGTGCTGGACATATTCGGACTGGAGGAGGTATCGAAGATCGAGGAAAAAGTGGTAAAGACGTCTGTTTGTGACCGAGCCAGCATCAAAGGCTAATGTTGCGTTGGGATTAACAGCTGTTGGTTCACTGACTTGTCTTGTCGTTAAGAAAGTATACAGGATGGACATAACCTTTGTGAGGAAGTTTCCTCGTAGCACGATCTCTTCGGTGATGGAGGGAGTAGTGAGCAGTTGTAGAGAAAGGTTGACAATTGAATGATCTGGCTCTCGGTCTGCAACAAGGTAGAGCTGTGCCAATGCCGTATACAAAGCAGACAAACGCAGACCCATGATGCGCTTGAATTGTGGAACATTGACAACGGTACTGATATACAGATCACGCAAATCAGTACGTGTCTTCTTCCACAATCTCAAATCATAGAGCACCAGCCAGTCCAAGCGAGTCCGCTGCCACAAGTCTTCGTATGGGGGCAAATTCTCGCCTGCAGCAGGCATAGGTGGCTGGACTTGCCAGTGACTATCTACCTTGGCCGGGCTCCTTCTGATCAAGCCAGGGGTTCGTGGAATGGAAATATAGCCACTTTTAGCGGTTGTATCGCGAGAGGGCGTTAGTCTGGATTGCTCCGGCTCAACTGATTCCCGCTCTACAGTTTCAGCGCGGGGTGGGCGAGGAGATTGCGGTTGCGCGCGAGTAAGTCCAGCCAGAATTCGCTCAGCCAAAGCGAGCTCCTCATCTGCATCCGCCATATCCATAGCATCTGTGTCTTGCTCGGCCTGCAGGCGAGACAGCTCGATCTCCATTTCATCGTCATCCTCATCATCCGCATCCTCGGCCTGGACATAAGCCTCGTCCTCATCATCATCTGCATCCTGGTCGAGTCCATCATCATCGTCGTCCTCGTCGTCATCATCTGCAGTCAAAATCACCTGACCATGAGCAGGCAAGTTGATCATGAGCGTGCGGCCAGGACCGTTTTCACTTCTCTGGTGATCATCGATACCTTTCATGCCAATGTCTTCATTTGAACCACTGCTACCCTTATTCCAGGAAGTGAGCATTTCCTCGCAAATGATCTGGCGGAAGATCTCATTGTCTTCGAGGATCTCACAGCCAGCAATATCGGCCAGCCACTCCACAATCGTCGCACACATCTGCTCGCGGAATGTGTCGCGCGCAGACCGCACCGTGACGGTGACCTTGATTTCCTCAATGATCTTTGAAACGGTAAGTAGCCTTTGTAGGTCTTTTGAGTATTTGATCACACTTCGACCGATATCATTTGTTTCGTGAGCCCGGGCCATACCGTAGCTTTCTCTTTCACGACAAGCACGCGAAACTTGGTTAGAAACATCTCGAATGGTATGCTTCTCGTCGTTCCACAACATGACTGCAAATTCGGGCTCTTCTTCCTCATCATCACCAGCACCATACCAGTCTGGACGCAGCCGAGATGCCTTCTCGTCTTCTCGGATACCCTCAGCAGTCTTTGGTAGCCGCAATTGCTCCGGAGAGCAGGAAATGACATCACAGAAATAATCGAGTACACGAGCGATAGTCAGACGAATCGAGTTCACAAGCTCAGACGGCAATTCATTCTTCGCCCGTTCCTTACCCTTGGCGTTGCCACTGTCCGTGTGAATAGCACAGAAGAGCGGCAGCCGCCATGCCTCATCGTCACCACAGTCACAGCAACCACAGTTCCCAGACGATAACGAGATCTGATATTGATGACCAGTATGGTCGGAAGAATCGAAGCATCGACTGCACAGCACGCAGGTATCATCCGCAGCACAGGTCACGCATCGGTATGTGGCCTCGCCAGCTCGAAAGATATGACCGCAACGCTTGCCCCGCGCAGCCTCACTATACTCGGCGCCTTCACGGGCACCCTGGGCCTCGGCAAGCTTCCATGGCCCCGTCGGAGTACCTTCTGGGAAAAGAAGCTCTACAAGTTCCTGGTTGTGCCCCACGAGCGACCGGAACAAAAGCTCTAGCAGATCCCGTTCGGCCGCCGGGCCATAGCGGTAGTTGTGTTTCTTAGGCAAGCGGAGTAGACCATCACCGAGGAGCTTCTCACATTCTCCGAGCATGAGCATGGCTTATCGTGGCCGGTTTGTTGCAGCCACTCGGCTGTTGCAGGTGTGGTGAGAACTGTCGCGACAATGCGCAGAACGGGGTGGGAATCGTCCAACGCCGGAGGGGGGGACTCGGTATGCAGTCGGAACTGAATTTTTTTTGAGGCCAAGGTGTAATACCCGAATCGATTCGAGTGTGTTTGGTGTCTCACGTTGGATACTTTGTAGTGGGGGGAAAGAGGAGAGCGGGTGTGGACCGATACAGGCGAGCAGATGACGGTGAAGTCATACGTGATTCGAATTTGAAGGTGGAGCTCGATATTGTGGAAAAGATCGAAATATTTGGAGTAAAGCAACCGTTATTGTTCTACATATTTAGTTCCTGTTATGACGATGGCAGTCGCGTTTGCAAACGCCACAAACTACTACATCATACTATGGGCCTGATCACGGTGAAAATAGGTCAAAATACAGATTTCCATCTATCGCATACAAGCCATATAGGAATGAGAAATAAGGGCAAGTCGCACGGGTTCTTCGATCCCCCTGTCACCACTTTACACGGCCATAGTCAACGTCCAATGTCCAACGTACAAACGTCCACTCGGTCCATTTATTCATCATCCTCCTCCTCCTTAACCATGTAGCGGTGCTTGATGTCCTTCCATTGGCGCTGTATAAGAGCAGTAGTTAGTAAGTGTCCTATGCGGTAGGCCGTGGCTCCGGTCCTTCGGGGAAAGTAGGTGGAGTAGGTAGAGGTGACATACGCCCTGGTTCCAGGAGTCCCAAATCTTGTTGGAGGTGATATCGAAGCCACTGTTTCAAAATTGCATGGTCAGTTCTCTGTGTAGCACAATGTAACCATATATCACAGCGGGAGGTCGAAGGTCACGCACAGCTCGAAGGCAAAGGCACCGGCAAAGGCGGTAGTCAGCAGAACAGTGTTCTTGCGGATGAAGGTCCTGAACAAAGCAAAACAATCCACAGTTAGTTCTTAGTCGGGCAATGCAATTGCGATGGTAGGAACGAGGGAGGGGAGACGTGCGAGTAGAGAACGTTTGCGAGCTGTCAGGCGAGAATGTCAGTACGGAACAGAGCAGAATATCTATAGAGTAAAGGAGAGACATACGCCGGCCATTGTGGGCGATTGAGTATGTGTCGACCGAGGGGGATTCGAGAGGATGGAGTCGAGAGAGACGTGAGGTTGCGAAGTTGAGCGAAAAGCTGCGGGAATTCCCGGCCCGCTGATTGGCCCACTGAGTCTCCGGCCATCCGCACTCAACTTTTGTTGTTTTTGCTCTTGACCAACTTCACCTTTGGGCGCTTGACGCTGCTCTCCTCTACATTGTTTCTGATTCTCGCTTTCTACCCTTTCCTCGCCACAACCACACCTCGCCCACCATGGCATCCCACGTCGCCCGCTCCGGCATCACCACCGATGCCATAACCGGCGAACGCTACATTCCTGCCTCGGTGCGCGCCGACGGCTCCAAGCGCAAGGAGATCCGCGTCAAGCCAGGCTACAGACCTCCAGAAGACGTCGAGCTTTACAAGACCGGTGCAGCAGCTGCCTGGAAGAACCGCACAAAAGGCGGGGTGCCAGGTGTTGAGCGATTGAGCACTGGCGACGACAAGGCAACTGCCGCAGCCACCGCAGCCAGCAATAAGAACGCCAAGCGTCGCGAAGCCAAGCGTCAGACCAAAGAAAGCGACCAGCTAGCCCCCACTGAGACCAAGGGCGTGGAGTCCAACAACTGGCGTGTTCCGGCCCCGGCACCAGCACCACCAAAGAAGGAGGAAAAGCCCGCCGAGGAACCCATCGATATGGAAGCTGAGAAGGAGAAGAAGGCTCGCAACCTCAAGAAGAAACTTCGTCAGGCTCGTGACCTGCGCCTTAAGAAGCAGCAGGGTGAGGCCTTGCTCCCCGAGCAGCTGGAGAAGGTCATCAAGATCCAGGAACTGGTACGCCAGCTGGATATGCTTGGGTTTGACTCCAACGGGGATAAGAAGACCGACGAGAAATAAGCAGTATAAATGACTACGTTAATTTTTAAACGCGGGGTTACTGGGTTTATCATATCATCGACACCATGTCTTGGGAGCATTCGCATACCACTGAGGCCTGCCGCGAACAACCCACGAAATGATGCCCCGCCAAACCTGCACACCTGCAGCTGGTGACTGGAATTTGAGCACCATTCAAGGTGATTGGCCGCTACACAGCACTGCCCTGTCGTCTAGATCAAGCGCTGGTCATGCATGATCCGCCATGACGACTTTCCGCCAGTCCCCGCCAGTCCCCTCATATTCTGCCGATCTCCAGAACCCTCATGGTCTCACTTCACCCCTAATTTCGACACCAGACTCGACTTAGAAGTGAACCCACCAATCCTCATTGGTAGATCAAATCAGAGAATGCCAATACACGGCACCAAATTGCAATAATACCAAGAAATCAAGAATCACGGCACATGCCGTTTCTAATTCAAGTCCATACCAAAGTATCGTACAAAGATTCATCCACAGTAAATCCTTACTGTACAAGCAACCACACTGTAAACAAGACTATATGAACCAGTCACACAAATTACATAACTACAAACGCGAATCAGTAAACCTCACAGGCGACATAGCAATACCACCCTGATAATCCCACTTAGGATCAACAACACCATTCCATGGACGCCAAGGACCATGTGTGGTATTAGGTATAACTCTACCAGTACCATACGTCGCCGACAAAATACCCTGCTTCACACAGTCAGACACACCAACGCCATTATACCAGTTGCCAGCGAGGGTGAGCAGCTCCCTGTACTCGACCCGTGTTGCATATGAAAGATCATACATGCGCTGCAGATGACCAACAGTGTACTGGGGGATAGCGTCCTTCTGCAAACGGGTGCGTGCGACGGTTGGCGTATCGGTGATGTTGAGGTGTCTTTTTAGCATATCACGGGCCATTTTGACGGCCGTGTCGTGGTCTGGATATTTGTCCATGCCGTCCCAGTAGTGACCGCCCATCATGACTGTGAGTTTTGTTCCTGGGGCTGTATCTTGATTTACCGTTGATTTGGTTGGGTGCGGGCTGTTGCCTACGCTTGAGGCTGAGGCGAAGATCACGCCGAGTCCGCATTCGGGGTTTTGGTCGTAGGGGATTGAGCGGGGGATAAGATAACCGAAGCCGTCTTCCACTGGGAGGAGGTCTGGGTTTGGGTAGTAGAGGTTTACTACCATTACCGTCACGGCGTAGTTTTGCTTTTGGAGGAGGTTGCGGGTTCTGCCTTCGTATTCTTTACTCACTCCCTCGGCTGGGAGGAGTATGTTGGCTAGTGATGCTGGGGGGATTGTAGATATGACATGGTTGAATTTTTGTGTTTGGAGGCCATTTCCGTTGACCGATGGAGTCTTGACCTAAAAAGTGTCAGTAGTGGTTCTGGTATAGGATGGAAGTACGAAAAACATACATGAATTCCATACACAGAATCCAAAGTTAGACGTTCGAGCTTCGAGTTTGTTACAATTTTGACCTTGCCGGAGTTCTTCAAAGAAGCAACCAGAGCATCAATCAGCTGGCCAACACCATTCTTAAAGGTGAAAGTACTAGCTCCAGCCACTATACCCTCTAGTTCGTGCTGATATTTCGATAGCTCAGGGGAGCCAGAGATAGCATCTACAGCCAGGTAATCATCTATGGCGTGTGTCCTTTTGCGAGAGAATGCCCGGCTGATCATAGACGAGAAAATGCCCCCAGGCACAAAGGAACCAACACCCCCGGTGCCTCCTTCGAGGTCGCGAATCGAGCCCATGAGCATCTGGGCACTTAATTGATCGATATCACCGGCATAGATACCGTGGTACACAGCAGAAACCAGGTTATCGGCGACCTTGGGGTGAAATCGTCGTCCGATGAAGTCCGCAACGGATTCATCTTTCGCCCATTCAGTCGCATGACGCGGTTGAGTATAGATATCATGCAACAGTCCCGCGAGGAATTTGTCGAAGACCGGCTCATTCCAAATAGTGTTCAACGTCTTCTTTATGAACTCAAGCGGCGTCAATTTCGGTTCAGGCGCGGGCATGCGAACAAGATGGTCGGGGTAGTAGATGTAGCGATTGCGAGCCGCGGGGCTGCTTTTCGGGGTAATGATGAGGTCTTTGTACAAGCCAAGGTTGGTAGCCTGTCAATTGTAGTCAGCATTAGCATATCTAACGTATAATTTTTTTGAAAACACAGTGGGATGCGAGCAAGTGTGTGACCGTACTAGGTAAAGCAAAGGTAAAGAGCTTGGCAGGGAGCTCTTCAATGTCCGAGGCCCATACTCGAACACAACATTGCCATCCTCGACAGGGATGGTTTCGGAGTCAACCCATCCTCCTAGCCTGTTTGACTTCTCGTATAGCACGACTTGCTCACATTTGGGGTCCTGGATCAGCTGCCAGGCCGCTGTGAGCCCGGTGATGCCACCGCCTAGCACGGCGGTGCTGTGGCTGCGAACGCCTGAGAAGCCTAGGTGGCTGTGGACACTGGCTAATTGTCCTCGCCTTAATAGGCTCGAGGAATGTGGTAGCCGCATCTTTGGCGTGCAATGCTTGGTTGGAGAAGCTAAGATCAACTGCGAAGGTCCTCGGACCTATCACACCTTACTTAAGCTGGGGACTTCCCCGGGGCCCGACGCCTCGGCCCTCTCTACGACACTTTATAGAAGGCAGATCTTGAGCGGTATTCAGCGATATTGATCGCTTTCAGATTATTCATTTTTGAAAGATCAAAAGGGATATCTATGTACAGAAAAAATGAAGTAAAACAATGATATCTCGGCAAACAAGCAAATTCATGAGTATCAACGCCCTCCCTTGCCGCTCCTCATTCAAACAGCAGATTGGATTGTACATGGTATTGTTGAGTTTATAGAACGGGCGTTGGCCCTATTTGGGGTTTGGTTTCGGATTTTTGGGTCATGTCAGGCGGAGTCATGCGGTAAGCTCCTGGCTCTGAGTACCTTCTTGGTTCTCGGGCTTGATCAATTCTTCGGGGCCATCAACATCACCCACAAACTTGCGCTCGCTCACATGCTCACCAGAGCGCGGAGTCCACACTTTGTCGGTGAAAGCACCTCGCTGGCCCTCAGCGTGCTTGTAGGTGCAGTTGGGGTTGAGACATGGGTTGAACTTGCAGGCGGTCTCAATGTGTGTGAACTTGCAGCCTTCGGTCTTGCAGTCGGCTCCATTGCGGCAGACAGGCATGCTGGGATGCTTAAAGTGGCAGTTGGGATTGGTGCAATGCGGGAAGAATCGGCACATGGCCTCTGCCTGGTGGGCAGAGCGGACCGCTGGTGAAGGGTGACGACCGGTGCACTTCTTGTTCTTGCAAGCAGCACCGAATGAGCAAACATCGGACGGATCCAGGGAAGTGCCTTCGGGGGCTGCTGGGGACTGGTGTGCGAACGGGCAATCCTGACGCGTGCATCGAAGATTGAAGCGGCAAATGCTGTTCGGGTTGCTTTCGTCCTGCTCGGCATCCATATCGATATCGCCTCCATTGGTAGTCTTGGGCTTGTTGTACCCACGGTTTCCTCCGCGATTTCCTCCACGGTGACCACGCTCCACGCGATCAAAGAGCGAACGACCTTGCTGGCCATTCTGGAAAGCGGGGTTGACGGCCGGGGGAACGAAACCGGGCATTAACTGCGACATCACGCGCGCTTGTTCTTCTAACATAGACATGATCTGCATCTGGTTTTCAGGCGACATCTGCATCATGGAGCCCTGGCCCATGTTGCCAGGCATTCCCATGGGACCCATATTCCGACCACCACGACCATTCTGATATCCTTTCATGCCTCGGTTGTTACCGCCGATGCGGCCGTTTCCTTGCCCTTGTCCGCGTACACGGTGCAGAGCTGCGTCCGAGCCACGGTCTAGGGTGCGGTTGATTTGATTGAGCATTCGACCTTTACCGCCGCGTCCGTTGCGCATCGCTTTGGGTCCGGTAGGACTATTAACGAAAGTTGTTAGCATTCAAGTTTCAGAAAATCGCCACGGGAAACATACATAAACTCATTTCCTGCATCGCCCATTTCAGCATCCTGGCCGTTGGTCTGTTCTCCGAACGAGGGAATGAATGCCTGAGCTTCGGGATTCTGTCCCATCTGTGAAGGAATAGGCTGGTTCATGTTGATGTCGTTTGAAGGGGCACCTCCGTTGATTTGCTGGTTCAGCATCTCAACCTGTGAGAACAACCATCGCGAAAACTCCAGCGCAGCGGTGTCGCCTTCATCGAGGCCTAAGAAGTCGTTCGACAGTTCTGTGGCGATCTGCTCTTGGGATTTTCCGTTGACAAGCATGAGAACGATGTACTCGACTAATGGCGATTCTTGGCCATCGCTCCAGCCCATCTCAACAAGCTTCGGCTGGATGGCATTTGCAACTGCCTGTGCAAGCGGTGACTCTAACGTGATCTGAGGCAACATGATCAATGCAGTTGTAGAAGAAGGAGCGAGTGATGGTTCAGTAAGAGATCGCGAGGAGAAGAAAGCGATAAAAGAACGGATTTGCGCCACCCGATAAAGGCGTTTCGGATTGACTCAGAGCGACTGAGAAAGCGGATATCACGAAAATGATTCAACAAGACGGTTGGCAATTGTTGACGAAATTCTGGACGTTGCGCAAGCCAGAAAATGGAACTGATAGAAGGAGGGGGATTTTGACAAATGGATGGAGTGAGGCTAAAGACACAAGATCAAAATGTACATTGTCACGTGATGTGGCTGGTCGGGCGGTGAGGGGAAGCAATCTGCTCAAACCGGCAGCTGAGTGGTCTCCGTTCAAGTTGAATCGATGAATTTCTTCCAACAGTAATTTGACGGTTCTGACTGAAATGTAGGAATCGATTATATGTTGAGAGAGAAGTTTCATTTGAAAGAAATGAATTTTACCTAGAAAAAGAACCTATGCCAAGGGACCCTGACAAAGCTATTGTTGTCCTATAATTAGTGTTCTTAATAGAGGCTGCCATTGTAAACAAAATGAATGAATTGAATAATAGAAATATCAGATGAGCTATTCATATTGTCTTGGACCAAAGATACAAAACATGCAGACTGTTAATTATACGGTGTGTATACTCGTGGCCCTAAGCAATAGGTCAGACAGGGACAGCTTTAAGCCATATATAATCTTAGCCCTAAGTGGCTGCTAACTGTCTAACCACAAGCAACTTTGTTAATGGACGATCTTTTGCAGAGCCCGATATCATATGCAACACTGCCGAGGTGTCAAGCCACCATTAGTTTCCCCAGATTATCGGGATTCAGTGTGAAACCGAACACCGAGGTGGGACCCGCGGAGATCCGGGGCATAAATATAACCAGCAGACCAATAATAGCCACAGTACTAGCATGAAAGTTGTATAAAAAGAGGATCGGGCAGCGGAAATGAAGTCATAGTATAAAGCGGGGCTCGCAAGGTGGTCTCGAAAGAGCGAACCTACTCTCTTTTAGGACTCGGTCATTTCACACTTTCTGGGCGTTCGGGGAGACTGGGGTCCGATTATTGAAGTAGTTTTGTTGTAACCCGTCTGGTTTTAATTCGGACTATTGATCTCTCTTATCACTTTCGATATCTCGATCTCAACGCACGCATTTGAACTTCAACACCATCTACACTCCAATCGGCCCAGTTCAGCGGCATCATGATTGAAGACCTCCTCGCCGGGATGTCCCCTGGCCGGGCAGCACTATGGCTCCTAGGGCTGTTCGTCGCCTTTTGCGTATTCCGCAAGGTGCAAGCTGCTGTCCAAATCTCTCGCCTTGGTGCGAGAGCTCCAAAGATTCGATTCCGTCTTCCATATGCCCTCGACTTCATCTATAAAGGCCACCAGGCTAACCTGGTGAATCGTGATATTGAATTCTGGGATCAAACTATCATGAATGCAGGTGGCCAGACCAATGTGAAGACCGCCGAGCTGGATGCCGGCATCTCGACCCGTGCCATCATGACCAAAGACCCCGAAAACATCAAGGCTCTTCTCACCGGCCAGTTCGCTGATTACGGCAAGGGCGAGCCATTCCACAAGGATTGGAAAGAGTTCCTCGGCGACAGCATCTTCGCCACAGACGGGGAGCTATGGTCTCGCTCCCGGCAGCTCATCCGCCCTATGTTCGCTCGCGAGCGCATTGTAGATACAGAGATCTTCGAGAAGCACGTGCAAAAGCTAATTCCGCTCCTCGGTGGTAGTCACTCTCCCAGCAGCAGCAGGGTTGTGGATGTTGGCTCTCTCTTCTTCCGGTACACCCTCGACGCAGCAACCGATTACCTTCTCGGTCAAGGCACAGACAGTCTCGAAAATCCAGCCACTCGCTTTGCTGAAGCCTTCAGATATGTGCAGCAACGTCAAGCTGAGCTTTTCCGCTTTGGGTAAGCAACTTCCCCGATATTGTGCGATGCCAGCACCAGCTCCTATTGGAAGTATAACAAACTCAATCTAACTGTGCAACCCAACCTACAGAGTCTTCAGCTTCGCCATGTCACGCACGGAGTTCCGTAAGAACCTCAAGATAATGGATGACTTCATCCAGCCCTACATTGAAACAGTCCTATTCCTCTCTACCGACGAACTCGACCAAAAGCTCTCCAAGCGCGAGACCTTCCTAGACGCTCTCGCCCGATTCACCCGTGACCCAAGAGTCCTACGAGACCAACTCGTAGCCGTCCTCTTAGCCGGCCGAGACACAACTGCTGGAACCCTATCCTTCTGCCTCTTCGAACTATCTCGCAACCCAGAAGTCGTTGCCAAAATGCGCCAGGAAATCCGCGATCGTCTAGGCGTAGGCGCCAACAGCCAAAAGCCCACCTACACTGATCTCAAGGAAATGAAATACCTAAACGCAGTCCTACACGAGACAATGCGCGTCTACCCAGTCGTCCCTTTCAACGTTCGCTACTCCCTCCGCGACACAACTCTCCCACGCGGCGGCGGCCCAGACGGAATGGCACCAGTAGGCGTGCGCGCCAACTCTCGAGTTATCTACTCGACAATGTTGATGCAACGAGATCCTGATCTATATGACGGCCCCGACTCGGAGAACTACTTCGACCCCGCGAAGTGGATTCCGGAGCGGTGGGTTTCAAACTGGCAGCCCAGGCCGTGGCATTTTATTCCGTTCAATGGTGGCCCACGGATTTGTATTGGGCAGCAGTTTGCTACTATTGAGATGGGGTACACTCTTATTCGGATCTTGCAGGCTTATGAGCGTATTATTGCGTTGCCTGTTAATGGAAAGGAGAAGGTTGAGGATCCAGTGCTTCGGTTTGAGGTTACGCTTAGTCCGGGCTCTGAGTTGAATTGTGTTTTCCTCAAGGAGGGGGAGGACGTGATGCCTGCTTCTAAGGAGTATTAGTTAGGGCTTTGGGTTGAACTCGATGATTTGCTATTACGATTTACTTGAGTTAATGAGATATCCAGAATGAAAAGGGAGATCAAGTTAGAATCACCTTCAATATATACTTCATCAGTAGACGACCGGTCATTAGGCTTTCAGTATGTATTGGCCAGGTTTGAAGCACCCATTCTTTCATACTAGCCATGAACAACGCCAGGTAGAAAGGTGTAGTTGCACAGTATGGCACGCGGTTTGAACTTGAACTTTGATTTCGTACTATCTCCTTTTTTAGAGTGCTTGAATGCCCCTATCTTTATGCCTTCAAGCCGGGAACTAGCTTTAAGTCATGGCTTCCTTCCATTGTAATGATATCGAAATCGGCGTTACGTATTCACATACCATTCTCCGCGCAAGACCTTGAATGTCAAATATCATCCATCATTTCCATTATGAGCTCATCAAATATACCTAAGACAACATCAATAACATTTTACCTTGGGCTTTTGCAATGCCTTCAGCCTCTGTAAAATCTCCACCTTCCTCAATTCCAGATACAAATCCTCCTCGTCTGGGCTTGACATATCACTCAAGAAACTAACCAATGGCGTCTTCGAAGACGGGAACTTGATCTCGCCAATGGAGGTCTGTGTTATCTCCTTGACAGTAGCTGTAACACAAGGTGCCTTCTTCGTATCTGAGTTGGAACGCAGTGGAACCACTTGTTTCGACAGATGATGCGTCTCCATGGGTGCATTTTCTCCATCCAGGATTGAGTAGGCCGGGGAATAACTGAACCTGGATAGTTTGTGGTTTCCCATAATTTGGTTAGTTTCATACAAGTGCGAGTGACATGGGCTGACTGTTTGGCGATCCCGACTCTCTTTGACTAGTGTCCGGGTTGTATTATTCTTCGCTCCTTCGACTTCTTCTTGAGATTTCTCGGATATAACCCAGCCCCTACTCATCTGAACAGCTTTCTCCCACTCCCGAAACTTGACAGCACTCTCTTGAGGATTAATCTGAGGCTCGAAGACTGTACCACCGGCACGATTGATATCACGTAGTTCGGCGAAATTGCGCCACATTCCGATGGCGAGACCGGCTGCAATGGCTGCGCCGAGGGCAGTTGTTTCCCGCATCTTGGGACGGTAGGCTGGGATGGAGATGAAATCTGCCTGGGTCTGAATCAAGGTCTGGTTAACCACCTGTGGAAAGATATGACGAAAGGGGTAGGTATATGTACCTGCATTGCCAAATCCGAATTGCTCATACCTCCGTCTACAGCTAGCTCGGAGAGTGTGTGGCCACTGTCTTGTTCCATTGCGACGAGGATGGCTTTGGTTTGGAAGCAGGTTGCTTCTAGGGTTGCGCGTGCGATGTGACCTTTTTGGGTGTATTGGGTTATCCCAACTATACGGGGTTTTAGAGATTAATCTTATGAAAGGACAATTAGGGAAAAACTCACATATGGTTCCTTTGGCATCATCAACCCAATAGGGTGCGAATAGTCCACTGAAAGCAGTGACAAACACACATCCGCCATTGTCTTCGACCGAGTTGGCTAGGTCATTGACCTCTTTCGACTCACTGAAGAATTCCAGATTATTCTGCAAGAATTTGATCCCAGAGCCTGCAACAGCAATGCTTCCCTCAAGAGCATAGACAGGCTTGCCACCAAGGTGATAAGCCACCGTAGCCAACAACCCATGAGTCGAAAAGACAGGCTTATCGCCAACATTGTACAGCAGAAAACACCCAGTCCCATAAGTATTCTTCGCCATGCCCGGAGAAAAGCCCTTCTGTCCAACAAGAGCAGCAGACTGATCCCCAAGACACCCCATAATTGGAACACTCTCCAAGACACCAGAGGCAACAACCCCATAAGCCTCAGGATCAGAAGAAGGCACAATCCTAGGCAAATGAATCTTCCCCCTGATCCCGAAGAAATCAAGCAAATTCTCATCATACCGCACAGTTTCAAGGTTAACAAACATAGTGCGCGAGGCGTTTGTCGAATCCGAGACAAAGACGTTAGCCGCCGCGCCGCCATTCAAACGATACACGAGCCAAGAATCAACAGTCCCAAACGCCAAAGTCCCACGGTCAAATGCATCCCGCACTTTCGGTACATGCGTCAGCATCCAGAGCAGCTTCGTCGCCGATGAGTAGGTTGACAGCGGGAGACCGCATATTGCCTGGAGCTGGGCTGCACCGGGTTTCTGCTTTAGTTCGGAGACGATGGACTGTGAGCGCGTGTCTGTCCAGACAATGCCGTTGTAGAGGGGCTCGCCTGTCTCGTGGTCCCAAACTATGGTTGTTTCGCGCTGGTTGGTTATTCCGATGCTTTTTACGCTGCTGCGGTTGTGGCCTGCGGATTCGAACTTGTCGACTGCGGCTTTCATGCAGGTTTCTACTGAGGTTACCAGTTCGAGGGGGTCATGTTCGTGCCAGCTTTGATACGTTAGTTTAAGTTTGTGCGGTTTATTTAGAAGGTGGCTAGGCCTACCCTGGGTGTGGATAGATCTGGCTGAACTCGACTTGGTGCGAGGCTACTGGCTCGCCATCGTGATCGAAAATCAGGAACCTAGTGCTTGTTGTGCCTTGGTCGATAGAGCCCACGAAGATCTCCGCAGACTGCATGATTGCGTGCGTTCTGCAGTATGTAAGGATGAGAAGGGGGGGGAAAGCGGGAAATTATTTGGCAAATAATCCGAGGGAAGTACAACATGATAAGAGAAGAACACCCCCACGGGATTAGACGTAAAAATCACAGCCAATATCTGATTCGAGGAAATTCGAGGGGAAAGGGATTGGTGGGAATATCCTGGTCGGAGGTGAGACTTCGATTGGCTTCCCTCGAGCAGACCGTTGGGATTCATATTTAGAGGGAGAGAGAGACAAAGAACAAAAGACAAGGACAACAGACAAAGACAACAGACAAAGACAACATATCCACCGATCAACTCAAGGATCTTCCAACTCCACCTCTCTGCATATTGCGGGGAAGATCAGCACGTCAAGTTCGGCGCACTGACTTCATCTCAACTTTCTCAACTTCACTTCACTTCACTTCACTCCGATATCAGGCCAAACCACAATGTCACATTACGATTTAGTCCAAAACCTGTTTTAGAGTATCCGATATGGGGACAAGACACCAGTTCTACCACCACCCTCCACAGAGGGAGTCAAATCCGGCCAACCCCGGCCTCGCTGATACCACACATACCTGGCTGATGGTCACACGAACAACTGTCAAAAGTGCCACTACCGATGACAAGCGAAGGGCGACACTACTTGGTACCAATATCCCACACTGAGGAATGTTACCGCCTAAGTGACATGGTTAGGGCATTCTAGAAAATTGCAATCAGGACTGCATGAGGTCTGGCACCCGACGAATTGACGATGGATAATAGAAGAAATGGAAGCTTCTCCTACAGCAACAGGGTGGCAAATACCGGTCAACGGGAATGACATGAGCATCACCCAAAAAAAGGAACAGTCCAAGTGGAACCAGACGGTGTTTTCCGCCAGCCCAAGCCGAACGAACGATTCCTACAAACGAACTCATGGGAATAAGGCAAAAAAAAAAGCCATGGCCACAGATGCGCTGTCACAGTTTGACCTTTTAAACAAGGAAAAGGGGAAGAAAGAAAAACAGCAAAGACCAGCCCAGCCCACTCAATAGAAAGAAATCTGCGCTTTACCAATTTCAATCTCGCTTCCAATTCCGAGTCTGTCCAGATTTGACACCAGCTAGTATCTCATATGCAAGCTTGCACTCCTGCAGACCCTGTAAAAGTGTACTAAGAACAGCAGGACTACACCCATACACACCATACACCATCTAGGACAAGGACCGTGTGTCAGCCAATCGAGCCAGCAGGACTTGTACGATACAGCGCAGGGGTTTGGGATTCAGAAGAACAGGGGTTACACGGTGCGGACCTGGTTTTGACTCCGTCGATATACCGGAAGAACAACCACACACCCCATACATTCATACACACGGGGATGGTGTATTCCCCCCGCGGTTGTTGTACTATATCACGTCGAGACCAGTCCCGCTCTGGAGGACAGCCTCCATTCTTTTCTGTGTCTATGGCTCCCTGGAAAAATATTGAGGTTGATCCGATGTCGAAAGTTCACCGTGGGACTCTTTCTTCTGATAGTCATAATAGTGGCTGTGGGTCTTTGTGTCTTGGTGGGAAGAAGACTTCTATTCATCATATCAACCCCGAGATTGAGAGTCCTTATACTCAACCGCTCCTCTGGTCGAGAGTGAGGGAGAACAGTCGTGATGCGTTCTCGGAATTCTTTGGGACATTGATTCTTATCTTGTTCGGTGATGGGGTTGTTGCGCAGGTTCTGCTCAGTCATGGCCAGAAGGGTAACTATCAATCTGTCTCTTGGGGGTGGGGGTAAGTCACTTATATATCCAGACGTTTTTGTTTTCCCGCTTCAATTTCTGTGTCCTAACAAACCCACCTAGTCTCGGCGTCATGCTAGGCATATACGCCAGCGGCGCATCAGGAAGCCACATAAATCCAGCAGTATCAATCGCAAACTGCATCTTTCGCGGCTTCCCCTGGCGCAAACTCCCGATCTACATTCTAGCCCAGATCCTCGGCGCAATGAGCGGTGCAGCAATTGTATACGGAAACTACAAATCAGCCATCGATACCTACGAAGGCGGAGCCCATATCCGTACGGTGCCAGGCTACTCAACTACAGCAACAGCCGGCATCTTCTGCACATACCCAGCGGACTTCATGACGAAGACAGGTCAATTCTTCTCCGAGTTCCTCGCCAGTGCGATATTGATGTTTATGATATTCGCGCTGAAGGATGAGGGTAATCTCGGTGCAGGGACATCCATTCCTCTCGCTTTATTCTTTGTTGTTTTTGGGATCGGCGCTTGTTTCGGTTGGGAGACTGGGTATGCGATCAATCTTGCTAGGGACTTTGGTCCTAGATTGGTCTCGTATATGCTTGGGTATGGACATGAAGTGTGGTCAGCGGGTGGGTATTACTTCTGGGTATGTACACGTCTTCCCCTTCCTCTTTACCTCCTGGAATATTTTGAAGTAAATAACTCACATGCAAATCCATACTTTCAGGTCCCAATGGTCGCACCAATTCTCGACTGCGCCTTCGGAGGATGGATCTACGACCTCTTCCTGTACACGGGGACAGACAGTCCGATCAATACACCCTGGATGGGACTCAAGCGGTTGTTCATATTTGGCCCTCTGAAGCAAAGGCGAGTCGTGCTGCAGAGTCCAGTCTAACGAGATTGATCCAGCTGTTCTTGCACATGAACATCCCACACGCAGGGCTGGAATGATTGATGATTTATTGCATTTGTTATGATCACTTCTCTTTTCTTTTCATTTCATTCATTGTTTATGGAAGTCTCATGGAAAAATGGGTGGGACCGCGTTATTTGGCATTTAGTCAATTTGACTCTTGCAATCCAACATCGATAAGAAAAGGATACAGTAATTACAACAGATCTTACATATTATCATTCGAATCAAGTCTGCATAACCCGGCGATAACCATCTATTGCGAGATCCAAGGCAATACAACACCATATCCCGTAGGCCATGTACTTCCTTTACATCCCTCATTCCCAAATGAAATCAAACAAACAAACACGCTGTATGCCCCCAATTCAATGCAGGCTGCAGAATTCCAGAAACGAGCTCAGCATATGCAGCTTCCTTGTCTACGGGGCCACATGACACCATAGTTAGTGTTTGCTGCAGTAAAAATAATGAATTGAAGCTTGGTAGCAAACAATATCAAAGCAACAGAATTGATTGCTTGTCGTCAGTCAGTTCATCAGCCTATATCATGGCTAGCATTCTTCCAGGTTGGATCTGCTGATGCCTTCGTTTGCTATCTGTAGTTTTTTCCAAGCGACTTGATTGACTAAGGAGCTGCGAAGTTGCTGTCTATACGGGGGATGCTCCTGTAATGGAGAAGTACAATGGTCTCATGGTGCGTGACGGAAGTCAAATGTAAGGAACTCGGGCCGAGGATCAATTTGGAGGGCATACGAACAAGGTAGGTTGGCTTACTTGCTAACGCTACAGATCTGACACTAAGAGGAAATCCACTTCTACAAAAACTTTAATGCTAGAGAAAGCAGCATAACAAGTACAGTATGCTATTGATACACGGACGCACATAGGCAAGCGAACATAAGACGACAGATCGATATCTAACTAAAGAACCACCAAGACAAAACAATGCAATGCATGCAGGCTAAACCACGGATAATGCACACCATTACCGCTTACCCTTCTTGCGGGGAGCGACAACCTTGAAAGCAGCGCTAGCGCTCTCTTCCTCACGCTGAGCAGCAGCAGCAACTGTCGCAGCGGAGCCCTTCTTGGCAACTTCGCTCCAGCCACCACTGCCCTTCTGTTCACCGAAAGCACCGGGAGAGACGGATTCGACAATGCCCTTGTCGGCAAGCTTGCGGCGGCGGATAAACTCCTCAGCGAAGCGACGGCCGTCAAGAGTCTGCGAATTGGCGTAGACGGAGTCGGAGATGATCTCAGCCTCGGCGGGGAGGAACAGGAGTTGCTGGACGAAATCGTCGACTAAGGAAGAGATGTTAGTATACAGAGAAAGCGTATTGGGGTTAAAGTTATGTAGATAGACTCACCATTGATGTTACTGTTCAGTCCCTTGCCCAGAGCGAGAGTGGCCCACTTGGTGAACTCCTCAACGGCCTGGTTGGGGTTGGACTGAGGGACGCTGCCAACGGTGACAGTGCGGGCAGCGGTAGCAGGTCGGGGCTTGGCAATGACAGGCGAGATTGGAACGGTTCCGCTGACGGAGCGAGGTCCCAGAGGCGTGGCGGGCGCACCCTTAACCTTGCCACTGGCACCGACAGTGGTCCAGGCACCAGAAGGAGCTGGAGCGGCCGGGGCGGCAGAAGCAGGGCCCTTACTAGCAAGATCGGCGTAACGCTTGCCGGCAGAGGGGGGAGCGGGAGGGCTAGGGGTAGCGGCCATGGCGGCGGCGGCAGCCGCAGCCGCGCGGTTCTTGCGGGCCTCTTCCTCCTTCTGGATCTGAGCGAGAGTCTTCTTGGCAGTGTTTCCGGTGGGTGCGGGCTGGGTCTTGCTGGCCCATGGGGAGCCGGTCGAGGCGGGAGTAGCTGGGGATCCAGCGCTGGCCCAGTTAGCGGAAGAAGGAAGACCAGGAGCGGTCTGCGCCTGCTGTTGGCTCAGACGCTCTTGTTCGGCGAGGAACTGAGCTCGACGAGCAGCGGCAGCAACCTCCTCACGCTGGGCGGCAGTGCGGGCCTCGGCTTCCTGGATTTCCTTCAGCGAAGGGCCCTTAGGCAGGTCATTGGCTTCCTTAGCCCATGGTGCGACGGAGGTAGGAGCAGCGTCGACAGGAGTCTGCGTCTGCGAACGAGAGCCAGTAGCCAGAGACTCAGCAACGTTCTGACGGTTGCGCTGGGCAGTAGGGGCGGGAAGCGGAGAGGCGGAGGGTGGGGGAGGGAAGGGCTGGGGCATAGCACTGTCAACCTTGCCCCAGACCGACTCAGTAGGGGCGTGGCTCTGCTCTTGTTCCTGCTGCTGGCGCTGGGCGGAAGCAGCCTTCTGGACCTGCTGGGAGAGAGTGAGAGGCTCGGCACCAGTCACAGAGTCAGACAACTGCTTGGCGGCCTCCTCCATGTCGGCGCCAAGATCAGACTCGAGCTGCTGAGAAGTAGCGGCAGGGTGAGTAGGCAAGCCATCGGCAGTGCGCATACCCAACTCGCCTTCCTGGGCGCGCAGGGCATGGAACTGACGGAGTCTCTCCTCGCGAGCTTGTTGGTCGAAGGGATCATCCTCATTGGCCTTGTCGAAATCCTCCTGCTCTTGTTGAAGCTGAGCGCGGTCTTGGAGCATAGAAGAAACCTGCTGAGAGTGGAGGAAGTTGTCGGGCTGGCGGAAGGAGCCAGCACTGCCGAAAGCGAATGGGTCCTGACGGCCGACGTTCAGGCGATCGAGCAGAGCAGGGAGCTGGTCCTGGCCGCCGACAAGGTCGGTACCGAGCATTCCAGATCCGGGCAAACCACCCTGTCGGATGGGTGTACCATCGAAGAATCCAGGAACGCCCTGGGAGGACTGCTGCATGGGAGCCTGGATGGGGGATGGCTGGTAGCCGACGGGAGAGGTGATGCTGCCGAAGCTTGGCTGGCTGTGCAGGCTGTGTGCGCTAGACTGGTGCTGCAGTGGGGGTTGCATAGAGGAAGAGGGGGCGCCAGGGGGTGCCATCTGCTTCATGATGGCCTGCTGCTGGGCGAGGTGTTCCTTCTGACGAGCCATCAGGTACTGCTCCTCCTGTTTGCGGCGCTCAAGAGCATTCTGCTGTTCGGCGGTCAAGGTAGTGCCGAAGCTGGGGAAACTGCCGGGGAAGGGAGGCTGTGCAGAGCCAGCGGTGGTGTTAGTCCATTGGGCGACAGTGGGCTCAGGGCCATGAGGAAGGCCGATCTGGGGGACGAGGAATGGTTCACGTGAGTTCCCAATACGACGGACAAGTTGGGCCAGAGGCTCGAACTCCGTGTCCTCAAGCTTCTTGATTTGGAGATCAGGGCTGAAGAATCCAGCCTTGAACCAATCATGCATCTCAAGTCCAGTCCAAGGACCCTGGATATTACCCTGGGGATCACGGTAGATCCAGCGCATTCGGTCAGGCATGACCATGGTACGTTGCTGTGAAGCAGGAATAGTTCCAGAAGTGGAATCGTGACCGGCCAAATTAGGGATTGAGCCAACAGCTGAGACGGGGGTTTGGGAGGCAGGTGTCGAGCCAGTTGCCTGCCCCGCCTTTTCACCCTGGTCGATCGATCCTTCCAAACCAACAGAGTCCGGAAGACTCTCATCTTGCATAGACGAGAACAAAGCACCCAATTTGCTGGACCGGCCAATGCTTCCAGTGCCGGAAATTCCAGCATGCGGGCTAAACAGACCGCCTCCGCCGAGAGTGCTCAAGCTTGGAGACTGAAGATCGCCCATGGAACCAAAGATAGGATCGCCGAAGCCGCCTGCAAAGGCAGAACGCTCACGAGTCGGTGTACCAACAGCAGCACCAGACGACCAGGTCGAAGCTCCACCCAGCCCAGACAGTCCACCGAGACCCCCAAGGCCAGAGAAAGTGCGGTTGGCATTGACGCTGGAGTTTTCGCTACGGTCCACAGTGGGCAAGTCCATTCCGGAACCCACACGTCTCATTGACCCGAAGGGGTTGGAGGGGTCGCGAAGGCCGCTCAGTCCAGGATGCTGAGCCTGCTGGATATCCGATCCATCAGTATCGACATCCTCGGTGTCCACACGATCACCGTGGCGATCACCGTGCGGGCTCTGGTAAGGATTAGTGTTGGTCGGGCTAGTTGGTTCGTGGCCTTGGAGCAAGCTGGGGGTGGGGTTGCGCGAATTCTCCTGGCTTTGCATCAACTCTCGGAATCCTGGGATGCTGGACGTCATGCCGAACGCCCCGAAACCGAGATCAGACTGAGAAGGACCTTCGACATCCTGCGATCCACCAAGAGCAGCGCTTCCACTGCGAGGCTCGTCGAATGGATTAGTCTCGCTGCGGTTGACACGCGTCTTGACAGCATCTCCCCAGGGTGACTGGGAGCGCCCGTCACTGTCATTTTCAGCAAGACGTTCGAGATTGCCCATATGCTTTTCCCTGGCGGAACCAGCCATATCCTCAGAGCTATCCTTCGAGAGCAAACCCTTGAACCGACTTTCCCCGCGGAGACTTCCGTATCCTGGTTTCTTTTCGGTCGTGGGGGTAGTTGCGTTCGAGCCAAGCGAGAAAGCCCCAAAGGCTCCCATAGGGGAGAAATTGGCGCTTTGTGAGGCCGAACCCCAAGGAGAGCTCGGCCCACTGACGCCCGTATTCAGGGGATTGGTCGAGCTACGCTTCAGGGTGCTAAAGGGAGAAGATGGGTCGTCCCGAGCATCCTTCGGCTTCTCGGTCGCTGTGGGTTCTCGGAAATCGGTCTTGCGACGCAACAGAGCCGGGGGAGGGGTGGAAGTGTTGGCTTCGTCGCGGAAGAAACGGGAGTTGGAACCGGTAGGAGACATTGGATTTCCAATCGACTCGCCAGTCTCCCGGCGTCGAGGGCCCGGGCGGCCAGCAGTAGGAGAGGCGGTATTGTAGTTATTGATATGGCCCTGGGGATAGGAAACAGAACCCTTGCGACCAGTCCCGGGGACAACGTTTTCCTTCTGGGCGTTCGTAGGTGGGGGCTTCAGAGGGGAATTGACCGAGGCGGCAAATAGCTATTAAATGTCAGTACAATCGCTCAGATACAGGTATAAAGGAGAATCGAACCTCCTTCTCACTATCCGACATAGCAGCAAGTCCAAGAGGCTCCACCTGGCCACCATGATCCCAGCACACTTCAGGCCCCGCGGAGTTGGGTTTGTGGTCATCCCGCTTCCCCCACGCGCCATTTACAGAAGCTGACAGTGTGTGGGGATCCCAGTCGGCCACAAAGTATTCCTCCACGTTCTTGTTCAAGGATCCCAGCTCCCGCTGCGATTTATACAGCTCTAGAAGCTGATCCTTGGAATACCGAGAGTCCCCATTCCGTGCAATGCTAGTGTTTGAGCTCATGTGTGGGGGGATGTACGCTCCGCCGGCCGTTGGTGTCGAGGCAGATGCAGGCTGGCTACTGTCCCGCTGGTGGGAAGGGTTGGTAGCGACAGAAGGGCGGCGGAAGGTCTGCGTAGCTCCATTCATGCGGTTTCGAGACCTGGACATAGGTTAGTGTTAAAGCATGAAGCTAAAAACATTGACCAGCATAAGCAACAGTAGCAATGCATGTCTGTTGAACCACCAGCAATGGGGGAAGACAGGGCAATGTTTGCATACCATTCTCCGCTAGTCCCATCCCCTCTCCGATTAGGATCCTGGGTGTTGCCGGCGGCGGCAGAAGCGAAACTCGATGGAAGTGGTGTAGGCATTATGGATAGGTTATTTTGGTCGGATGTTGATCCCCCACGAAATAGCCGATGAGATAGTTTGTCGCGAGACTTTGTGGCGGATTTCGAGAATGTGTGATGCGAACAGACAGAGTCGCAAGACACAAGGAGTGAAGATTGAGGTTGGGGAATGACAGCTAGAAGCTAGTCAAATGATATAAAGAAGAGCTGAGGGAATGCAGAAAGCGGCCAGTTTCAAGGTGAAGAGAGAGATCGAGTTTCGAATTTGGGAAGTTTGGAGCAAAAATGATTAAGCGGTGTGCGTGGCATTAGGCGCGCTGGGCGTAAATACAGTGTAAGGGGTTGGGCTGGGCGCGCGTGATTTGCCGGGGATCTGGTACGTTATAGTGTATTGGCAGAACCAGTGTTACCCTTACTAAAGCCCGCAGGTATTCGATACACACAAAACATCGTGTTTGCCCACTGTGGCCTAAGTACCTTCTACATCCCCAGCACACTCTAAAGCAAAACAAACGGGTTTACCTGCAAGAAGATTCAAAAGAGAACGATGAAACACAGTTGAGTGAAAGCTTGGTTTCTGGTTGTTTTGCAAGACAAAAGCTATTGATAGGAACTATGCAGTAGGTGGCTTGACGCAAGCAGCATCGTGGCAACACTGGGATAGACGTGTATCATAGTTACAACCACGTACCTCTTCTGATTGGGAGCTCAGCTGCTTTCAAAAGGTCCTGACCTCTGTCAACTTAAACAAAGGTTCTTATGCATATGGATATCCCTTTCTATCTTGTACTATAGGGCAACCCCTCTTAGTCTTGTGTGAGATTCGGGCAAAATGCTGGTTGGGTTGGAATTCCCATTCTCTGTGCCTGTCTATAGGGCTGGATCACTATGTTCTTTGTGGGAATGGCAGGTTACATTGGTTTGATCTACCGGCAATTCTCCTTCCTACACCGATCACAATGCTTTTGCTTGTTAATCAGTCAAACAGGAGATCTCAGGCCCAATTAATATGGGTGTTCGCCTCATCTATACAGAACCCTTATAAAACCACCCACCTCCGGCCTTTCCCCTTCACTTGTCTTTTCTCCAAGACAATTCACTAAGCTTCTTTTTCCTATCATTGTTAATCTACTATAGGTCTTTCTTCATTGTCTGTTCATAGTTCAAGTCGACTCTCCCTTTCAGCATGAGGCGATCAAGACGCGATATTCCGTATTCTGACTTTTGGATGGGAAAGCCTTATGACAAGAGCCATGGTTGGGTCGAGCAAATAGAAAAAGCACCCTGCGCTGGTGGTACCAAGTGTTCCCACCAAGAATGCCTGTCGAACAAGTCGCAGTCTCCTCCGCCTCTAGTGAGACCGCCATGTACGTGCTACAATTGCCAGCACCAGCACCAGCACCAGCACCAGCACCAGCACCAGCATCATAACCCGACACCTCCCCCGAGCCCAAGCATGAGCTGTGGCTCTAAGGATGAGGTTATCCGAAGATTATATTGCTGTACATCATCCGTAAAGCGCGGACGGGAGCAACGGGAGCCTTCTCCCCCACCAGAGAAAGCTCAATGCAGTTGGCAAAAGCCCGTCAGTCCATGTGCGACAGTTTGTCCAGGATGTCACTCTCGACACGCAACACCTGCACTTGAATTTTGCCTGCAGACGCCCAAGTCCCCATCCGCTTCTGCGCACCCCTGCTGCTCGTGTCGCAGGGTATTCGGCTGGGAAAATTTCTCAGTTACTCGAGGTCCAACGCCGACGCCGTCTCATTCCTACGGATCAACTGGAAATCCTCGGAATAAGCCACCTCAGGCCAAAGGTACTTGTAAGAGGCACATTCCGGCCCCAAAGTCTGAGATTCGGCACTGCGACTGTTATCACAAAGACTATCATTCTGATACTGGCTCTCATGTCTCCCCATACGATGATATGTCATCGGATTGCTCCTCTGTTCGAGTTATCCCTGATTATGACAGGGAGGTTGATGAATCTCGGTGTGGTGCTTATCACCGCTGCCGTCCTAAGTATGACTGTCGACAAGGCTGGGTCTGTGGAAGGAAGTGAGGTTCTTTGTTCTTGATTAGACGTCAATACAAGCATTTTCTCTCGTTAGTGTTGAATTTGCATTACTCTCTTACCATAAAGGCACCTGGAGCTCCACTCAAAAAAAATGAAGCATCTTACGGGACTAGGTTTCCAGCAAGAGCTCATCAGATCAACTGTGTACCAAGTTAATATCAAATTCACTCTTGTCGATTTTTCAGAGCAGTGGTGGTAAGGCCTTCCTCGGTGGAGGCCATCTGAAATTTCCAAGCACACCCGGAATGGTCTGTATTCTCGGTAAATCTGAGACAGTCTGCAATGTCTTCACTGGTGATCTATGAGGTAGAGCACATACACTAATTGAATACCTAATCTTGAAAAATGTAGATATGCTCTGCTTACCAGGACGTTCGCAGCCGTGATCGTGTACCCCTTCTATGTCATGAGGGTCTCCATGCCATCAGGCTTCCTCTCCCGGCCTTGTGTCTGGTCGTATGTCTTCTCGGTAAAAGTCACATTGACAGCCTTGTTTTAAGGAGGGTTTGTGGCATGTTGATTCGAGTAACCAAGCCACGCGCTGGTGCCGGCCGTGTTTGGGATTAAAGGTTGTGGAGTGGACGGTGAGACTGGAAGGTGAGCTTGGTGGGTGTCGTGAAAACACAGGAGTTGATTAAGGAAGTACGGCTCAAGGCCGTGAATCACAGTTCGTGGGCGAAGATGTTCAGCCACTATTCCATGAACTAAGTAATTCACTGCTTACAGTGTTATTCACAATCTTGTTTAACTATATAAGAACCATTCATTTGACTAGGAGAGGGAGAAATGAAGAAAGAAGAGTTCCTCGAGGAAGGGAAATACTCTTGGAGAAGTATTAACCTATATAGGCCTATGCAGTAGAGCAACCAAACAAAGAAGATATCCTGAGGCAGCACATTGGCTACCAGTCAATATAAACGTCACTACTTCCTCACTTACTGTTGAAATTACGTTAATCTCTCACTAGAAGGATGTATGACTCTGTGCTCAAACAATGAAGTTTATGAGACTCGTGAGTTCGTGGAAACGCTTAACAGTCAAATTATGCTGTCGCGTTGAGACCTTTCTAGCCAGATTCTCTCTCGCTCAGACCAGTCTATTCTGCTTTGCCAAAGAACAAGCCTTTGCGTAAAGAGCCCCGTGATCCTGCTCGTCGTCATCAGTGTCAGGATCGCCGTCCTCGTCCTCCTCCTCCCTTTTCAATTTCCTCTCCTTCCCCTCAATCTTCTGCTTCTCCAGCATCTCCTTCTTCGTTGTCTCTTCGGCGAGTGTACGCTCAGCCTGGTACTCGGCATCGAAAGGCTTTACCTTACGCCGAAGCTCCCACCATCTGCCACGTGCAGCACCCTCAGTAATGCCAAGTCTAGCGGCAATTTTCTCATCAGTGAGCTGTCAGATCAAACACATACGTTGATTAGACAATTGAGCATGAATGTCGTAAACTGTGCTCTACTCACCGGCACACCCTCAGAGGTCATTTTGTAGGCCGTCCACATCAGTTAGAGCTGTTTTTCAACGGTCTTCTGCTTTGCGGCCGGCTTTTGGACCCGGGACTTGCTGTACGCCTTCTTGGTAGCCTTCTTTGGTGGCATGGTTGTTATTAGGGTACCAAGGTCACGTGGTGAGTTGGCATGAAAGGCCGGGGAATTTGGGATGAGAGGTGCGTGGGGTTTGTGAGAAGCACGGTGTTTGGCGGGGGAAATACGGTCCAATGGAAGGAGATGCCTAGTGCCCACGCACCAGGCTACTCTCGACACGGCCTATCTTCTATTCTCCCTTTCTTCATAGACCACCACTAAGAAGGAATATGTGTAGAATCCAACTATTCTCATTTGATGTTAAATTCAAGTGTGAAAGATGAATCTCATCTTATAGAGCAACAAATAGAACAGTCACAAAGACCAGCCATATTCAAAAGACCCCCAGGAGACACACCGTAGCCGCAAATGGCGTAGTGGGCTGAGACGCATTTTGTGTCGTGCGGGCAGCATACATGCTAGACGGGTTGAGGGGCTTTGGCTTGTGTTGACTGTAGCTTAGGTATGGTATCATGGATTGAAACAAGAGTCAACTCTAGGAGACTGGGACAGAAAGTTGGAGTGTATTGAAGTAGACTGTCTATCACGATTCCAATTCAGCGTTCGCTTTGTATACAGTCAGTGATGGGGAAGTACTCTGAAGAATTAACTCTAATTGAGAAAAACCTAAGTATTGCAAATATCCGACTATCAGCACCTCAACCCAGAGAGCCAAGGGAAGACTGTAGATCTCCCAGGATGACATAAACTAAGGGCTCAAACAAACCAATCATGACAGCCAGAGTGGGTCAAATGCAGAAACGAACCCGACGTCTGAATTAAGTTAACGATACGAAAGGTAAAGCACAAGATTGACAAGAGTCCAATCAACTGCGATTAAACAACTAAAACTTCGACCAAGTCAAAATTAGAAGAGTAAAAGATGAGGAAAGCATGAGGAACGGTCCAACCGTTCATGCTCCAAAACGCCAAAACAATGCAGGAGTAAATAACAGCCCTCAGCTCAAGTAACAAGAGAACAAAAAGTATAAGTATCAAATCATACTCCCAAATTTCCATCAAAAAGTAAGAACCATAGATGGGGATTCAGACCAGAGAGGGCAAAGGCATCAAACAGTGTATACAAGCTGCAGAGTAACAGCCAAATGCCAGCCGTCAAAGAAATCCCCATCATCCAAATGCACCAGGAGCAAGATGTAATGGACGCAGCCCTCCAATATATTCCCAAGAAGCAGAAACAGAAACAGAAAAGCAACACAAACCCCGAAAAAGTCTATTCCCAATTCTCCAACCAAAAAAGCAATCCTGCGAATGCAAAAGGAATGACAGCAGCGCCTGTGCTATGCCAGATAGTAGTACAAAAGCCCAGCAGGGAAACTTGCAAAGCCTCGCAAGCGTAAATCCAAAAAAGCAAAAAAAAAAAAGGAGGGAAAGCCGCAAATGCCCGGCAATGAATATGCAACCCAAGAAAGGAATGAACAAGACACCATCTAGATGTGGATCAAAAAAAAAAAAAGAATCAAAGATGCAACTGTTGTGGGTGTAGGGGCATTCAGGCATCATAATCTGTGTAAGGAGGGACGTAAATCATGATCGATGAGCGAGTGCGCAGGCAGTAAAAAAAGGCAGTACTTCCCCCCACCTTTTAAAGTGAGGAGATCAGACTGATTCTCTGGCGACTGCAACTCGCGATCTGGGCTTGTAACAAGGAGTGACAGGAAGGAAAATCGTATCTTCAAAAAGAGCAAGAGGGGTAAGTATGAAAAAGAAACAAAAAATGGGAACGCAATTAGAAAGATATCAAGTAACCAGCCACGCACAATCATTGCCCATGTGCCGTGTCGTGCATGTTATACACAGGGTCCAAGTAGCTGTAGCAGGGGCCGTTAACCGGCGCACCCGTGTGGGGTGCGCCGGTGTTGAGCGCGTGCATGTCCCATGCCGGGCGGGGAGCAGGGGCTGGGAGACCTTGCGCCATCTGCGGGTGACACATGGCGGGATATGAGTATGCGCCGACGGATGTGTAGGGCTGCGTTGCTGCAATCATGTTCCGGACATCGGGGGCCGCGGACATTTGGGGTGTTGTTTGGTCGGGCTGCGAGTACGAGGGCACCATGGCTGGTGCGTAGGTATTTGTTGCGCCGGAGTCGGAGATTGATTGGGGGGAGTTGATCGCGTGGGACTCGGCGCCTGAGTCGGAACCCATGTGGCTGGGGTAGCTGGTCATGGGGTTGGGAAGTGCGCTGGCGGTGGAGGAATAGCTTGCGGACTGCAAATGGATGTTAATAACTTTCGATTTGAATGAAAATTGAGGGAACATACGTATTTCCCAATGATCTTCTTCAAGGCTGAGCTGAGAATCTTCCATGGGAAAACCTTGACATCCTTCTCGATGTTGCGAGGCTTGGGGGCTGGGAAGCCCATAATTACCTTGAAGAACTCTTCGCTGTCGGCTTTGGCCTTAGAGACGGTCAGAGGACGGAAACCCTCCAAATTGCGACGAATACGGTTCTTTTCCTCAACAGTGAAGCGAACGGCAACCAGAGACTCGAGTAAGTAGATGGTATCTACACTGGTGACATAGCACTCGTTCTTTCCCTCCCAGGAGATACAGCTAATGCAAATGCTGTTGGGAGCGCGATCCTCAGGAGTAACGGCCTTGAATTCTCCGACGATGGTGCTGCCAGTCTGGGAGCGGGTGAATTGAACCAGGCGACGTTGGCAGTGGCGCTCCTCCTTCGACCATCCCTGGGTCATGCTATCCAAGTCACCGTTCAGCTTGAGAACAGCCTTGGTAGGGTACATGGCGTAAGGGTTGAATTGGGGGTTCTGGGAGATCGAGCTGGTTTGCATGGTGGAGGTACGGATCAAAGTCGGGGTGCCATTGGCACGCTGGACACTCTTCTGCTGCGGCATGGGCATGCCGGGGTTGCGGCCCTCGCTGGAAACGGGGAGGTAGTTGGGGCTCCAGGCGGGTGTCAGAGGGGAAGGAGCACGCAAAGCAGGCTGAGGAGTCGCAGAGACGGAGGGGTATTGAGCAGAGCCGGTTTGAGGAGACGAGGCAGCGTGGAAGGGAGCAACGAAGCCAGACATGGCGGGAAGAGACTGTAGGTAAGGCGAGTAGGATGCCGACACGGAACGGCTGTGGTAGCCGTCGTGTTGCTCGACCTTGATCGAGGTTCCATTGTGGCGCTTGTTGCTTGCAACGGGGACGTCAGAGTAGGAGAACTTGCGCTTGCGGGAATCAACCGGTGGTGATTGGGCAACCTGCTCGTATGTGTAAACACCGACCTGGAGGACGGTGGCGGGGGAGTCATCGTGGGTCTCCATCGAGACGGATAGGGGGACAGCGAAGGATGGGGAGCCAGTGGACAAGAATGCAGGCGCATGGACTGAGAGTCTGTATTGGAAGACGGAGCCCTCGAATCCGTGGAAGGTTGGGATACATTCACACTTCTTGGTGCCGAATACCAAGTACAAGCCTGCATATGTGGAACTGTGCAAGTCATAGGGGGTCTGAATCTGGACCATGACTCTGGCTTTTTCGGCTCCGCGCTGGGGGCTGTAGGTCACCACCTCGGGAAGTTGACGCTGGCGTGCGCCCAACATGGGTGACTGAGATTCTTCGTACGAACTAGCGTACTCATTGTTTGGCATGTATGGAACACAATCCGAGATCTGGCTTGCTTGGTCGGCCATGGGAGAGGGCACGAACGGGGTGGTCACAAAAGGCGATTGACCGTAAGCCGAGTAAGAGGCAGCATCATGCAAAGATCGAGTGGAGCCGTAATCTGTTGTTGTCTTAGCAGGTTGTCCGGCCCAATGATCCGGTCAACTTACCGAGTATGGCGCCTGCGGTGGGCTTTTGAAAAGCAGACATGGACAGAATGGGCTCAGACTTGGCCCACAGGCCGTCTGAAAACGCACCGACAAACTGTGACTCTTCAGAATCCGAGAGATCCAACGACTCGCCTAGTATCAGAGGCGTTTGGAAATCTGGATCGAACTGCGAGGGAAACAGGTCAGCTGGAAAATTTCTTGTGTACAGAAACAAGGGTTGACAGAAGATCAAACAGGATCCCGGGCTGGAATTGGAAGGAAGATCAAACATGCGGGCATCCAGCGCCAGTGAAGGGTTGAGCTTACCAAAACACCGTGAGTCTTCGAGTAAGCCAGCTTGAAGATGTTGCAGCGAGTGCAACAAGACAGAACCTCCTGAAGCGAATGACTGGGAATTTATTCTCCAAACGATTGTAGGCCGAGAAAGCACACGCGAGAACGGGGTGCTCTCCGAGACAGAACGAGCGAAAAGATGAAGCAACTGTCAGTTTCACAAAAAGGGCAACAAAAGGCCTCGAATCAACATCCAGCAATCAACTAAGGCTGAGACTAGAAAAGGCTGGCTGCAGGAATCGACTCAGATGCAGTGGCCACGAAGTTCATAAAGACAAGATCCAGATAGGTTGAAAGGATCAAAAAGTCCACCGCCAATTCTGACAGTTGAAGGCAATAGGTTGAAAAAGGGTAGCGAGGAACAGGTTTCGCTTGGGGTTTCGGGAAGAAGAAGTTCAAAGCAAGTTGGGCACGAGACTAACTCCAATGAGTATACGAGCTTTCAAGCGGATCGGTGCATAGACCTGGAAACTCACTGAATCAGAGAAGAAAAGAAGCTCTAAACTGAGACGTTCGACTTCAGGATAATATGCAAGATTCGAGGGTCATCAAACTAGTGAAGAAGAGACTAATGTCAACAACAAACACGGGAATCGCGGGACGGGGAAGCCATCCGACGGCTTCACCATTGAAGCTCGTCATTTCCCGGTATAGTCCAGAGCCAGAGGGACACGGGGCTGCAAGGAGACGATACCAAAGGAAACCTCCCAAAGAGGAAGTATGCAAGGCAGGAGAACTGAGACCGTGGGCAAAGGGGGGAGTGGAGA